TTCCCTACATTCTAAATTGCCTTACCCGATTTAGAAGAGGGCAAAAATTCTTATATTTTTTTGCTCTTTTCCTATCGAGGGGAAAAATATAGCTACCACAAGTAAGAGACTAGCCACATATGTAGATTTAAACCCAAATAAATTAAAAAGAAATTTAAAAAATTGATTTCTAAGTCATATCATTTACATGTCTAGAGCTTAACAGCCATACGTGGCCAGGGACACAGGTCATCAGAGGAAATTCTCCTGGGTTGTGCTGTACTAGTCTAAATAAATACGGTGACGGACACAGAACTTCTAATGTACTGAGGTGTGGCTATGAGTGGAGATCCTGGAAGGAGGCTGCTTGGGTTGAAATCCAGAATTGACATTGATTAGTTGAGTGAGTGAACAAGTTACCTGACTTCTCTGAAACCCCACTTGTCAGATGGAGACTAAAAAGTTTACTGAAGGCTGTGACCTAGAATGTTTGATTTTAACCTGTGGTTTAAGGGGTTCATTGCTTCCCCACCCCGCATCCTTGGCCTTCTCAGTGCCAAATGCATTCATGCGATCCCAACGGCTCCAAAAGTTTTAACGCGTTTCAGCCTCGACTCGAGTCTAAAGTCCGAAGTCTCACTTAAACAGCATCTAAATCAGATGTGAACGAGCCTGTGCAATCAAGCATGCGACATGCTTCCAAAGCAACGGTGGGGCGGGCACGGGACGGACGGGAAGCAGGAAGGCAGGCAGGCGCGACGGGTCCCAGGCAGGCCCACAGTCCAGCACGGGCGCTCCGTGAGATGCTAAGTCTCCAGAACAATCCCCTCTGGCTGACGCGTGGCCGTCTAGACGCCCCGGAGTGCAGCTCCATCCAGGCAATTCTGCCAGATGGGGGTCCCTAGGCCTCTGCTGGGTGGCCCCACCCCATCACGCTGGGTGGCCCTGTGCCACAGCTTTGGGGAGAGGTCACTGTTGAAAGTGAGGTGACGGTCCCCTGTTTTGAAACTGAGGGTGCCCCTGATGTCTGCGGGACTGCTCTCCCTGCCTTGCAGACACTGTGCATCTGCAGCCGACAGCTCTACAACCCTGTCCCGTAAAACCCAAGCCGTCTGGCCACCTTCTTGCTTCCTTCCGTCCTATCTCCTTCCCATTCGGCTCAGTACGTGTAGTGAGAGATCCACCTTTACTGACTCACAGAGATGTCCAGGGGACATGATGAGTTCAAACGCGCTTGTTTGGAGCGACGTGCACGTGTGAAACCAAAAAAAAATCAGAACTCCCGGCTGCTGTGCATGCTCGTATGTGTACTCATCTACTTGTGTATGTCTGCACACAGGGAGAGACGTGTGGAAGTTGCCACACTGAGCTGACAACGCCAGTCACTTTTTATGACAAGCGGGAGTGAGGGAGTCAGTGGGGGACACGGGCATTGCTGGGAGCGGGTGTTGTTCAGCTGTCTTTAAGCATTTTTGCATTTTATCATTTTGCTTGTCTCGAAGAGCAGGTATTAGAATTGAAATCTGAAATTCATTTAAAGAAATAAAATAAGGCTAAGCCAAAGGGCAAAAAAGAGAGAGAGATGATCTAAATAGTGGACTCCGGTGTAATACAGTGGTTTTCAGGCTTTAGAGGACAATAGTCCCCCGGAGCCCTTCTCAGAAACAGACGCGGCCCCCAGGGCTCCACCGGGCCACCTGGGCAGGAGCCCAAAGGGCTGCACTCCCGCAAGTTCCCAGGTCACCCTCCTCCTGCAAACCAAGGAACTAACAGACAGGCTGAGGCTTAACGGGAGATGACACAATCGGAGGACAGAAGGACATAAAATATTTTAAAATACAGACGCTCGGGATGGTGAGATTTAAATTTAATTTTAATGACCTGACATTTCAACGGAAGCGCAATTTTATTTTTAGAGTCGAAAGGAAAAGCATGAATTTGCTATTTAAAATACTCGACGGTTTTAATGGAGTTATATTTGAGCTTTCAGATGGGACCACCCAAGATAGGTCATTTAGGTAAAAACAAGCAAATTAAGTTGCAAGGATGTACATCTCTCGAATTTCAGAGGTCAGTCACCTCAGACTATTCTGAGTAGCAGTGAGTCAGGGGGAAGTAAGAGTAATTCCTTTAAATCATGACTTTTGATCTATCACTGTTACCATTAATTTGTTAGAATAAATAAGTTCATACTTTCGTAGGCTCTAACTTACCTTAAGTAAGTACATTATAATTAACCATTATTTGGATAAGAATACATTGTGTGGTAATATGATATGTTCAGCACTGCTTTTGAAATTACTTCTAAGATATGAAATATATGATATATGACAATATAAAAATCAGTAGAAGATGCAGAAGCGCAAACAGTGGAAGGAGAAGAAAAACAGAAATACAAGAAATGTTTGCCAAGTGGACTGGACTGTAATAAAAGAAAGTTAATCCTTTCAAAGTAAAAAAAAAAAAAAAATTTCCCATTTAATGAAATCATTTAAAAATATTAAGAATAAAGGAGTAAAAGAATTTTAAGCCAAGCGAAATACAACCCGCTTCCTCAAAGTCTCCCTGTTATGTTCTGTGACTTTTGGGGAAAGCATAAACTGAAGAACATGTTTAATTTTCACGGGATAAGAATGAAAAGTTTTATTGTAAACAAATTTAAGCTGGCAATAGTTGAATATAACCTTATCATAAATTACCTTGAGAGTGCATGGGTTAACTTAGATTCTAGGTCAAATCAGATTTCCATTATACATTGAGAAATACTGTCTTTCTCATACTCTTTCAGCAAAAGCAAATAATACATACTATCGCCGAAGGATTTCTAATACCCAAGTCTATAAGAGGCATCTTGGGAGTTAAAATTTTTGTAAACGGTCTTTCGAAGAGTTGAAATACAAAATAATCTGTAAAAAATATTTCTGAATGATGGGGTTGTTTTCTTCTTAATTCTTCTCCGAAATTTTTGAAATATTTAAATAACTGATGAAAACCAATAATAAAATTTAAAAAATGTTCTCGATGGACTTGGTACAAGGACTATCTTTAGATAATCTCATCTAACATGTCAAAGTATGCATGGGTGTGGAGAAACAAACATTTTGATGTCTTCCTAGTATGTGTAGCAACAATATCTCTGCATTTATCATTAAAGTATTCTAAATATGCTGAGAAGCCATGTCAATTGACCCCAAAAAGCCGAGGATGGGCTAATCAGGAAGGGGGAAAGTACATTTCATCAGTACTGTTCTCTAAAGCTTACCAAGTGGAATGCTTTACTATCTGGTTTCACTTTATGCTTTTCCATATACTTGATAAGGCTGCAGTTGGTATACCTGGAAGAGAAATACTATGAAATATCTCTATTAGATCTGAGGTTCATTTTACATCGGATGAAGTTTCCCGACAATTATTTTAATCAAAACCAATACAGACCATCTACTGAAAAATCACATGATCAGTAGCATAACGAGTAGCATCAAATCAATTTTAAACTTCATTCGATATTCACACTGGTCACTTCTGAATGGATACCACTGATTACACGCAAGATAATTTCATGAGTAATATATACTGAATAGCTTTTTTCACATGAATGTTATCTCAACAATTATCTGAAAACATATGGGTCAAAAGTTTAACTCAGCCTTAAAAGAAATAAAAAAGAAGAAAATGTGTTATAGGTCTATAAACTACCCTCTCCCAATCCCCTGATCTGGCATTGTAAATAAATGAAATATTTCTTCTCTATTAAAACTTGCTTAAAATTACACAACCCAGGTGGGGTAGGCAAGCGGCTATGAACAAGGTTTGCTGAGTTCAGTCTCTTTCTGCCTCAGCTGATAATATTAGATATTCACCTTCTTTACATCATTTAAACATCTTAAGAAATAAAGACTGCCATAATGTAAACTATTTATTAGAGTAAACACGTAAAATTACTTATTAGAATAATCTCATGTTGAACGTTCTATGATGTTGAGTATTCAATCTTCTACTAAGTATTCTGGAAGAGCAAAAAATCAACAAAGGATCTATTTTCTTTCCAACTTACGTATTTCTTCTGAAATCTTTCATTAATGTTGAATGTTCGGGCATCTTTTTTATATCTTCCCAATCTTTATCTGTGAAATACATTGATAAAATTTTATGTTGTCTAGGTTTCTATTCTCAAGAACTTTTTAATAAAGGCTACCTCCATTTTCATTACGTTTCCTATACTTTTAACCTCCATGAAAGCACAGACGTCAAACAAACGGCCAGCTATAGCAGACAACTTATCTTGAACCGTACACACAACTCTCCATCATTGTATAGCGATATTTCTACCTTTTTAATGCCTACTTTCTATGATGTTTTAGTATGTTACCTCAATTTCTATAACTAAGTAAACACTTCTATTGTTAAATGGTTTTATTTCTAGTTGTAAAACCGCTTTTCCCCCTTCCCGCCAAATTTCTTGGTTAAATCAGCAACCAGTCTCTTCGATGATAAATGCAATGTCTTTCCCCTTGGAAGCTTTACTGCACTTCTTTTTAGATGGCCCTCCTTCCTGACACCTCGATAAATCCTTGCTTTACATCAGCCATCTATAGAAGCAGAAATAACTGCATGAAACAGAACATAACTAGCTCATTAATAAGACAGCTGTTGCCATGGCTGGTTTCAATAACGTTCACAAAAACAAGCGCCGCTACTAACACGTTCGGTAGAAAACGGACCGGTTAGTTTTGCTGGCGTGAGTTACGGGGCAGCGCAGGCGACAGAGCGCGTTGCCGCCCCCGCTGCCAGGGACCTTGGCTGAGAGTGTGCCCGGTGCTCGGCTGCAAGGGGCAGCTCAGCGGCACCCTGGCCTTTTCAGAAGGCGTCTACGGGCTCCATCTTCTTTCGACTTACTGGAAGAGTATCGGCCACCTTCCTCCACAGATGTCACGTGTCATAAAGTAAACTAAATATATACTCTAAGGTCCTAAATGGGGTTTTCTCCACAACTATTTCCTCGCTTTGATTTCTCTACTGTGTCGATTTGTTAAGCTAGAGATCCTGAGATCATCTTTCACGCTGCCCTTAGTTACACACTTCCTATTGACAAATTATATATTTGCCCTTTATTCTTCAGCCTTATTATCACTTTATACCTGGAGCGCTGCTACGGGCAAGCGGCTGGTTTCCCTGACAAGTTACCTCGCTTCCGCTGATTTTTACACGCCACTGCCACATGAATCTTTAAAAAATAGAACATAAATCACGTTACCGGTTCTCAAGAATTTATCATGGATACTCAATTCTTGAGCAGATCAGATCCGAACTCTCCTGCCTGCTTTTCCGGTTCCTGATGAGCTGACTGTTGAATCTCCTGGACCAAGAACCTCCTAGAACCACCCCTGCCCCCCGCCCCCAGCCACGCTCCTTTCCCTGGGCCCCAGGAAGGGCGGACCCCTTCCAAGTGGGAGGCCAAGGCCATTCTTTTCCACCAAACCACATCTACTCTTTAAATAGTCTGCTCAGAACAGTGCGATGCAGCCCCACGAGGGCGAGAATCGTGTCTGATATGACAACGACCTCTTCTCTTGAACACAGTGGCTGGCACGTGGCAGGTATTCGAGAAATAGTCGGTGAATAAATGAAGTCCCATCGCGACGAAGCAGTCTTTGCAGAACTGCTAATCGGTTTTGGACAAAGTAACATCTGCGCAGTTATTCTGCATTTACTGATCATTTAATCCCCTTATGAGGGAACGTGAAATTAGAACTCCCGGATATTGCTTTATTAGTCTGTGATATGCTGACTGAGAAAAATTCCGAATAAACAATGTCTGGAAAGTACTCGACTGGACAGAACTACATAGGTGGTTTCAACAAATGCTCGTCATCGGACCCCTGGGAAGTTTCCGGAGGAATAGCGAAGGGCTGGGACTGGCCGGGGAGATCTAACGCCTGTGAGGGGACACCTCGACGGCCTTCTCCCGCTGCAGATCAGTGCAGCCAAGGTCGCTGTGTGATACCAGACGCCCGCCCACATTCTGACTGTTCTAACGGAACACTTAAAAGAACGCTCTTATTGACAAGGGTTACAGAGCAAAAAACGCTATTGTTCAACACACTGTGATGCTGTACAGTGCCCTAAAGAAAAATCCTGTTCAAAATTTGTATCCGGATCTCAAGTAATGGCAGTATTATATGTGCTGCCAGATAAAAATGCATGCTATTGAATTTTATTTACAGTTCCTACTGGTAAGAACTAAAGGTCCCTTTTTTAATACAGATACTACAAATATTTTATCATTTCAAATATCAAACAACAAAACAAAACCGAACAAAAACCAAATAAAATAAAAATATACCTTCGAACTCAGGAAACCCATAAACATTTTTATGCTAATATGTGAACTCTACAAATTCTGCTATTTCTATAGATCTTTGATTAATGCAAGTCATAAATATAAAAAAAATCAAGTAAGAGTGGCTTTTATCAGCTAAAATTATACACCTTTCCAATGAAGACATCTTAGTTCAAACAACAGTGATTTAAAAACGAAACATAATGTGTACCTGCAGGAAATCCCATTACATTGAATATTCTGTCCAGCTGGTCATGGTGATAAGGATTACTAGTTTTGATGTCCTCTTGTCGACAGTGAAATATTGGTTCTGACGTTAGTAGTTCTGCAAATATACACCCTATAGCCCAAATATCTTTAAAACAAAAAGACAAAAAAAAAAAAAAAAGAAAAGAAAAAAAAAAAAGGAAAGGAAAAAGGAAAAAAGAAAAAAGAAAGGAGGAAAATAAAGTGGTTCTTTCCAAAAGAAAACGCATTTTTATCTTGGCGGGGACTGTTTTTCTTCCCTTTCCTTCCCTAATAAGTCACATTAATTCCTAAGCAATTGTAATTATAACTATCACAGAATATGATTTGTAAATATATATTCCCATTCTACCCACCCCAATTTTTCAGTCTCTGATACACCTCCCCCCAACCTAGTGGCTTCGTTCCAAGTTTAAATCAAATTTAGTAGCTGAATTTTGGGCGACTTTTCAATGCCTCAAACATTACTTTATCTATGAAATACGTACGAAGCTACATATGGAGCATGGGAAGCACAAACAAACAAAACTAAACAAAAAAATAAACAAACGGAAAACCCAAAGAGCCTTTGAAATTGGCCCTTATTGCCAAAAACAATCGGCACAATTTTTTGGTGGCAAAATTCTATTTTTTATCTTGTTATGCACTTGCTAATTTGTAAAGTCTAATAATCACCCTCCCGTGTTAGCACATTTAGCGAGGTGCTGTTACAACAAGAAAATTATAGCGACTGACTTCAAATATTCTGATGAAACGGCATTTCTACTTGAACAGGTTTTCGTTCGAAGTGTTTCTTTACGCTCTAGCAGCGTCCAATTTTGCGGGTTGAAGTATTTAATAAGAACAAGAACCTATGGGTGGTAAAACGCTACCTTTAAAATGGGTATGAAGCCTATAAATTCACTGGAATTACTTATAAGGGGCAGGCAAGTGGATTTCTCTGTACTGCAAATGGCCTTCATTCACATTAAGATCCTGGCTAACTTTCATCGGCATTGCTTTCGTCTGATAGATCTCTATGACAAGTTAGAATTTAAAGCTAAAAGGATTCCAGTTGTCTTAACAAAACCCTCAAACGACCATGCTAACTTCACCACGCTGAGTGCAGTGATGTGCTCACAGCATACTCAGGTGGTTTTCACTGGTCTCACCAGTACCTGTGGTAACTACAGGGGAATACACAAAGATCACGATTTTATTGAAGCAGACTGTTCAGCTACGTTAGCAAAAGAACTGTTAATTTTTAAATAAAGGAGAATTCTTAAACTCCGAAACTGGAATATAGGTATTTAATTTAATGTAAAATTATCACATTTACATTTCAGAGTAACAAGTTTATCATCTATTGACTTAAAGAGGATACGCCCTGACTACCAGCGGGTGATTTTTAAAACAGACGTTGTTTGCATTATTAGTTTGGCCCCACATCAGAGAATCAAGTCTGGCCTAGACCACCTTACGGAAGAGTCTCATCCGGAAGTGTAAACCAAGCTATTTTGTTTTGAACATCAGAAAGTAAATGAGAGAATTAGGAAGTTAGCGAAAATTATTTTGCCAGGAGTGCCCTGTACAGACCCAACCTTTGATCGTCTTCACCAAATGAAAGACGGGAAGCCCCGTAGGAGGAGCACAGAGAGGGCAGATGGGCCAGTCTGCACGGCGCCAAGGACACGGTGACAAGCCCTCTGGTTCGCTACTCAGCGTTCTCAAGAACAGGACAAAGTGTGTAAAGGAAGGGGCGAGGCGAGTGAGTCGTTCAGCCATCCCTAAAGCCACATTACTTTTAAAATAGAAAGTCAGCAAAGGGGGAAAAACAGTTATTGGATCCTGCTTAATCTCACCCTAATAACCTCTTTCTTCATATCTCCACCACGATCTGACTTTAGCAGTCTCCGCATCCTTCCTTTCTTCCAAATCTTGATCCAGACATTAATCGTGAATCTCAGGCTAGCTGATCGGGCTATTATTTTAGACGAATTCTGAAATCTTCATAAATAAGTCTTTCTTCTGATCTTGCCTTTTTCTCCTGATTGTGCCAAGTTCATGGAAGAGTCCTTTCATGCTCACCTACCTGCCTACCTCCTTCTAAAGAGATTTCCTAAATTAAAAACATATAAACCCTAGCTCCTCAAAATCTGTGATGCTCATGTGTACCTACCGAGCGAACCAGGCAACGCAGACAGCAACTGGTAAGCTACACAGACCCCAAAGCGGGGAGGGAGGGAAGACTTGCTAATGTTTAATCAACAGGTATACTAATACCACCTTCTACCTTAGTAAGAGAGTGGATTTTCTCTGTCCTTATTTTACTGTCTATTTCTCATTTAACATGCTACGTAATCGCTGGGCATTCAGTTATTTGAGGACAAACATCTGAGCTTTACCGTTCATTAATTAAAAAGTAATAACCCTCTCTCTCAGCCTTCTCCACAAAGTCAATCAAACGAACTAAACCCCGAACGCTCAAACCTGAATTAAACTTTGTCACCGGAAGAACAATGTTTACTAACCTCCTATTTCCTCTCTTTCGTCTAAGGATTCAGCTTGCAGTTCTGAACGAGTGAGTAAGTGACCACGGCACTAACATCTGTCTGTAACGCGAAGTGGGAACATGTTACTGGACGTGCTCAGATTTTTTCCCTCGGCTCTTCTGCTGCTTCTTAGCAGCCTTCGGTGTAAGAGAATCCACCAAACTCCGCCAGCAGACTCAGCCCTTCTGAACGATGCTGAAGGTATTTAGGAAATTATGTATACGCTCTCCCACGAAAGTTCTTCTGTCGGCTGCTCACACTACAACTATCTGACAGGGGAGTCAAAACGCTAGGGAAGCCCTCGGCAGGAGGCTTGGACCGGTGCGGGGAAGCTGAGTCCGCTAATGGAGCCTCAGGCTGCCTGCACCAGTGACGGGAAGCATGGGATTGTGTGGGAGACACCAGAAATGGTAAAGAAGTTTCGTTGTTTCCTCCTTTATTCTATTCCTTTTCGTTGACATTCGAGATGGTTTATGTACGACTTCTCTCTCTAACAAAAAAGCAACCTGTAAGATACCCACCCACCCACATGATAACTTTTCTGAGGCACTGTTTTGATAGAAGAAGCCTGTTCCCCAAGGCTCTCCTTGGCCAAGTCTCAGGCAGACACGGGGTGGGGCTCCCCACTGCGGGGGCTGCTTTCAAGCGTGACACCCGAGCCAGCTCCCTCTCTGACTCCCTACCTCGAAAGGGCAGCTGTTTTCACCCGAGGTCACAGAGCTTTCAGAGTTGACGGGGATCTAAGATGTGCGTTAGGTTAGATTCTCATTTTCAGAAAATGAGGCTAAGGGACTAAATGCCTTACACATACCTGCCCCCCGCCCCCCAGAGTGACAGAGCTAAGGCTATAAGTCAGAATGCTTTGTTACTTGTGTTGTTCAAAGATGACAAAATTATTTTATGCATATATTTATACTTTTTCTCAACTGGGCTGGAAATCTGTTAAGCGTAAACTATGTAATGTTCATTCATTTTTGTTTCTCTTAAGGTTTAAAAAGTTTCTCTAGTAGCTATCCAATAAATTTTGATGTTGATGAGAAGGAGGAAGAGGGGAAAGATACAAAGAAAGGCCTCTCTTCCCCAAATCCTAAAGCCATCTGAACAAAGGCGTCTACGGAACTGCTGGCAGCTCAGCTTCGTGACGAACAGCCCTGCATTAACACCGCGGGACTGCGCAATTCACCAGGGAACGACACGTTACACAAACCTTAATGCTCACAGTAAAACATAAAGTTTCTTAAGCAAAAAAAGAGATAATAAATAATGAGCCAGACTCACAAACTTCTGTGATAGTACACTTCTTAATTAATTCAAATCAATTCAAAGTCTCAAGTTTTCAGCTAACAGCCACTAAGATGAGACAGTCACTTCCTATTTGTATGGTCTGTTACTATGTCTCTAACAGAAGTGAAACTACTTTTCAATATTCATTTTCTTGATGGAAAAAATAACTATGTATCATATTAATTTATATGCTTCTTAAGTACATTTAGAACATACTTGTAAAAAAAAATGTGTTTAGCTAATAATATGTACTAAAAAAAAGAACTACCCTCAACAATTTTTACTTTTCCTTCCAACTTAAAAAAAAAAATCAGATATATATATTATTTTGGAATAGTTTTAGATTTATAGAAAAGTTCCAAAGACAGTTGAAAAGTCCCACATCTGACTTAGCTTTATCTACCTTTATTTTCACATAAAATAAAATGTGTTCTCAAAGCAGGTATGAAGATTAGCGAACGTAAAGATTTTTTTTTAAAAAGTCATGTCAGATTCAAGATTAATATGGGGAAACGATCACAGATGTTTCTCCTTTTCTCTCGCGTATACGATGAAATGGCAGCAAAGAAGTAGAGGTTCAAGTCCATGGTGATAAGTTAAAAGAACAGGAGGACACTCCCGGGCCCGGTCCATGCCTCACTCAGCACATGCTGAGTCCCCACCACGGGCCAGGCGGGCAGGGCCCCATGCATGGCCCACGCTGGGGAGCAGCGGGGCCAGGTCTGCGCGTTTTATGGGTTTTGGAAACGGGTCAATGCTATCAAGAAAGTAAATCAGAAGTGAGGTGGGGAAGGCAGGGCGGTTACTTAGACCGTGTGCTCAAGGAAATTCTCTGTGGAGAGACAGTACTCTGACTAGGATGTAAATGAAAGGAAGAGAACGGCCGTGTCAAGGCCTGATCAGGCAGAGACGTACAAAAACGCGTTTCTGGAAGATGAAAGGCGGACGAAACGTTCAGAGAAGGCCGCGGGCCACAGGGTGACAGCTGAGTGGGCGGCGGCTCTGTCCTGCACAGCCCTGGGAGGTTCCATGCTCTGAAATACCATCTCCGACCTCTGTGCACACTCAGCCCACGCTGGGCAGCCACGTGTGTGCAGGGCCGACAAGCCATACGGGGATTTTTGATTCTGTAGGTGCTTGTTGCCTGTCACCCCGCGATGCCCAAGGACCAACTGGATTGTGAAGAGCCGACCCTCCTCCTGACCCTGTCGTCCCCTGCCCTGGGCCGCCAGGTACACAGTGATTGGGCCGAACGTTGGACGACTGTTTCTTTCAAGATCTGAACGGCCTCGGAGCAAAGACTCGTGCGTGCTGGCATTCGGGGTTTCCCCGGTCGGTCGTGGCTCTCTGCTGGTCACAATAAAGTCGGGTCCTATAATGCACGTGCACAAAATTCCCAAGCAGCTTTTTGTCATCTGACTCTTAAATATGAAGAGACGATCGCAGGGCGACCGACAGATGCAGAACCCCTGCCACACGGAAGGACCAGACCAAGGCACGTGGCACGGTTATCGCTGTCCTCACAGATATTTGAGAAGCTTCTCTTTCCATAAAACAACACCGAATGTTATTTAAGCAGTGAATCGGAGAATGAGAAGGGGCTCTTAGAAATAGAAAAAGACAAAGGCAGGACCCCGTGAAAAGAAAAGTGGTTTATAAAGCATCAACCCAAGAAGTCCCGCAGCTGCCTACACTCAGTTTAGGAGAGAAACGGGGAGACGGGAAACGAACCTCGACGAGAATGTGCCCGCCGCGGGGCCGGCACGCCCCTGGGAAACGTGAGAATGAGAGATTCTGTTTGTTTTCAGAGAGGAGAAAACCTCACGTGACCCACCAGTGAATGAGCTGGGACTGGCGTGAGGTGTTTCATTAGCGATTCTGATACCGGAAGACAACAAAGGAGCATCGTCAGATTCTGAGAATTTAAACTCTACCCAACTGGCAAGTATGAGAAAAGTATTTTTGAGAAATACAAGAACTAGAAAATTTACCTCGAAGATGCCCTTCCAAAGGAAGTTACCTGAGAATATGCTGTAGCCAAACAAGAGGTGAAATAATGAAACCCAGAAAGAAACAGGTCCGACCCAGAGGCATTTAAAGAAGGAAGAGCCAGGATGAACACCAGCCCAGTACAGAGCCAAGAGAGAAGACGGCGGGACGGAGCGACCCAAGGAAGGAGAGGTGCTTTAATGCCATACGATGTCATCCTAAGGAAGGCAGAACGAGTTAAGGAAGCAATAAGCACACTCAGAACATATGGGCAAAAAGAGGCAAAGAACGTAAGAAAAACTACTTGATGATAAAAGGCAGCAGAATAAAGACGTCGGTAATGAAAACGCGTGGCAGAAGGACCGTGGGAGCCGACCTCTGACTCTACTACAGGACGCGGTCTAAGTGTAAGCCACGGGAAGTACCGCTCACTGGCAGAAAATAAATGCTGTGAACACTGACGAAGTAGTAATAATAAAGATGATAACGCTATTGCTAATCCAGGTTATAAACTGAGAGGTTGGTAGCAGTATAAGTGCACTAATTTCCTAATACTTCGTAATAGGGAGGTAATCAATACTATCTAAAATTTAAAACTCAATTAAAATGTTCTAAACTCCTTTTTTTTTTTTAATTCATATTTTTTTCCTTAACTGCAAGGGGAGCTTTTAGAAGCTAATATTTCTCTTGGTGAAAGACTCATCTGACTGAAGTTCAATGATTTTAAAAATTTTATCGTATTTCTCTTTTCAAATAAAATTAAATTTAAAACACTTTTTCCTGAGAATGCATAGGATGACCCCAGATACCTAAAATGTTTTTAATATCTATTTATTAAAGAGATATGTCTGGAACGATATACCCATGATGCTAATGATGGTATTTCTAGGTAGGAGAATTTTAGGTTACTTTTTGCTCTTTTATAACTTTCTGTGTTACTCGATTTAAAAATATATGGAAATATGTAGACTTTACAACAACAGAGCCATTTTGAAAACGTCATGGAATCTTAACGAGTGCTACTCACCAATAGCTTTGGTATAATGTCTCGCTCCAAGAAGTAATTCTGGGGCTCGGTACCAGAAAGTGACAACTACGGGGTCCAAATCTGCTAAAGGCTTCAAAGGTGAATTAAATAATCGGGCAAAGCCCATATCGGCTGCGAAAGAAAAAAATCATGTTCAGTAAACACATTTTAACAAAGTTAATTGATTACTCTAATTTTCCCATTGTTTTTTAGCAAGATATGGAAAATATCTTGTGCTGAAACCTCACAACACCTTTTCAGAAGTCTACATCTAAGACAAAGTTCAGATCTCCATTCTTTGCAAAATAGGACCAGCTCTGCTGCCAGAGGTCAAGGGTGATCGCTGGGCAGATCCCTTCCCACCTGTCACACTCCCAGCGGGGGCCAGGACTGCTGAGCTGCGTGTCCATTCTCTGTAGTGGTCACAAGCACCGAGAAACTAGTTCGGAGTAAGGCTATCCATTACTGGCTTCGATGTGCCTTCACCGGTGTATTCGAAAGCAGAATAGACATACGTTAACACCACTATTTCCCAGCATCTATTTGGGCTGAATGTGACTAACTTAATTTTAAAGATTTGTAGTATTTTGTTAAGCCGGGAAAGACTTTAAAAGTCATATGATTCAATCATCTTTTTCAAATGAGGAAACTAAGGTTAGAAGGACTTAAGCGATTTGACAGATGTCGTAACTCGTGTCTCAGAGCTGGAACTATGCTGAGATACAGTGCGTGGCATTTAACGAGGTGTATTTTACATGTCGTGTAGCTATTCAGGCATGGCTGTTTATCCTATTACACTGTAATCTTCTTAAAGGCAAAAATTGTGTTTTTCATCTCTTTATCCCTTTCAGTATCAAGTAGGGAATCATTACCCATAGCTTTTGCCAAATACATGTTGCATAAACAATCGCTATCGTCCCAGCTACTCAAAAATTTCGAGATTCATCCACCATGAATGAGTGTTTCGTTTTGTTCTACTGATACACGTTTTTAATGAAGCAGACCCTAGTCTAATCTACTTAATTACGGAGGCTAAAAAAAAACAACACAGAAATTTGGCAAAGAATTAATACTATGAGTCGGATTACTAAATACTGGTTTAAAGAAGAACTAATATTTCTTCTTAGATGTGACTGCTTTAAGCCATTAGTGTCCCCCAAACCTGCCGCCACCCCACATATTACACGGAAGTAGAATTCCAAACTAGACTGCCTTACCATCAAACTTTTCCCCGGACCTCGCAGTGAAGAACACATCTGTAACTACTGTTCGGCTGGGTCTTCCGTATTTTGTCTACACTGAACTTACGATTGAGTTTGATGCTACCAAACTGGTTTGTACGAACTCTTTAAAGGCACGCGTGAGGACCTGCCAGGCCCGGCTCTCCAAGGCCGGCTGTGGCCAGGAGCGCTCCGAGGCGTGTCAAATGTCCCCACTACTGACGAATGTGTATACGGCATGAGAGTATCCTGAGTCTAACTGACAGTGCAAAGTGAGATTTGGGGAATTTTAGGGGAGGAGAGGGAAGAAGGGTTAGAAACACCTACGGTTTTCTTTGCTGGTGACATGGTAAAAATCAGCTGATAATTCTAATTCACAGTAAGTCATGCAATCGGAAATTACTATTTACTTCATTAAAAAAATACTCCCACCATCCTGCTGCCTTTGAATTAATACAGTTCAGTTACAGTATTTCTCCCACCCGCACCCAAAGCAAACTAAATAAATGTGACAAACACAACTTGGGAATGACAATGAAAATAAGCAGTTAGGATAAATTAATTTACTTCTATCCTCATAGGTTATCAGACCAGGAGGGGGCAAAGTTTTGCTCTGATACGAAAGGAAATGAAGCTATTGGGAAACGTGCCAAGACTGAGGCGCTCGGTCATTTTCTCAGCGGGCAGGGCCGGCCCTGAGGCAGGCCTGCTAGAACTTACGGTTCCGGGCCCGGCTGGCCTCAGTGGTCGCCCGTGCTGGTAACTCCTAATCTAGATGAGGTCGACAGAGGCACGTGTTCTGATCTGATCTTGCCCAGGTGGACAGAGCCGGTGGTATGATTGGGACTAACGGTGAGGCTGGTGACTAACATGGGTAGAAGCCACTCACCTCCACGGGCTATTTTTAATGAAGGCAAAGAAAGGTTTCTAAGAAACCTGCGTGGCTTACTTTATACTTAGAACACTTTAGTCTCTAAAGATTGTCTGACACCTTGAAAAGTGTGAAACGCTTTTCACTTTGAACGTATACTCTTTAAAAATGGTTTCGATCACATGGAAGTACATGAATATATGCATATTATTAAAGCGAAAATTAGAAGTGATACAGCTGCCTGCAAAAGTCTTAAAAGAGTGCTCCACTGCGACTTATCAAAGATATAACATACCAATTTTTACTCTTCCTCGCTCAGGACCTTCACCCATAACTAAAATATTAGCAGGTTTCTGTGGAAACAAAATAGTGTTTTTTTTCAGTAGACAGTAGTGGTTTCTTTTAAATAGACAATATGCCAATATAACACAAATCCACCTTTTAAAAAAAAACCTCATTTACTCAAAAATTAAAATCAAACACAGGAAGTCACCAAAGAAACTGTACGCGCACACATGCCAAGCCATCCGCAGCCTTCACGCGGGCCCAGCACTGAGGCAGAGCTAACGCGCGTCCTGGCCCTTTCATCGCTTGGTCTTCGTGACTGGACCCTCCGACAGAAAGTTATAATGTGTGGTCCCTTTTAACTCTTTCGATTATATAAAACGTCCTTATATAAGGACTTTAAGGGACAACGAATTTTCGAAGGTGATTTCACGCCAAGTAGCAAAGTCATTTACAGGGAAGGACCCGTCTGATACCGTTTTGTGGAAACTGCAAAGTATGGATCTATGTTTAAACAAATCGATTAGAGTGAAATCAATTGAATAAAGTCTTTTCTAAACGAGTTAACAAAGTAAAAGGACTCTCCCGTGACCTGACCCGTTTTGAGACTGTTTTTAAATAAAAAAGGAAGTTAAAATTCGAAGTGAGATTTTACGAAAGAAATATTTCAAACAGTGTTAAAACCTCTGAAAATACGTGGATTAACTGTCATCTAAAATCTGTTACAGTGAGATGTGCTCTCCTAATATAAAAGGGTTGGCCCCTCCTCGAGGAGGAGGAAAAAGGGAAGAAGAGATTGGGGGGCTGGGGGGCAGGGAGGGAGAGGAGAAGCAGCGCCCCCCAACCCTGCTCATCCTGCCGCAGACCTGAGCTGGCTTTCATTTGCCAGTCTAAGTAAAAGTGAAACGAGATTAGAAGCCTTTCAATATTGATCAAAGCAAAAGCTCACAGTCAAATGAAGACTGAACGGAGGCCGCTTCCAGGGATAACTAGTTCACAGGCTTCCCTGACCCGTTTAGTGACAGCCTCTCCTGTTACCGACAAAACTACCAAAGATCAAAATTATTTTTTTTTTATCTTCGGCATAAAGATATCGCTGAAACGGTAGCATACACGCTGCGAGGTTAAAAAGTCTTGGGTTTTTTGAGGCGAGGGAACGAGGCGGCACAGAGATGGTCTGCTTCATCTCTGAACGGGCTGGGGTCCTTTCCTAATATACCATCCTCAAAGGGATTTTACGTAGCGAGTTTTTAAATCGACGCGTTATGCCCGCAATAATAATAGTGATTATGTTGTTATTCAAGAAAGAGTTTTCAGAACCTCCAGCGTCACCACCCACACTCCTGATCATCGGCGAAGTACGGAAAAGGCAAGGTCGGCGCCGACAGCGCTCAGGGCCACACGCGCGCTGCAGCCTTGGCCGTGTCCGCCCGTCGACCCTGGGCGAGCCTCCGCGGAGACTCATAGGGCTCAGCCTACGTCCGAGGAATCCAGATCTCCGAGGCTTGTGTAAAATGAAGGCAGAGGGTGTTGTCCACAAGGACTAAGGCAGCATCTCCACCTGCCGGAGGGGAACAGCTGGCTCTCCACTAGGTGTGGCTCGGGAGGGGCCCTGCATGTCTGTGAGGGGACCCTCCTGCTCCTCGGCGCGGGCCTGGAGCCACCCCCTTCTCTTTAACCCCGTCTGATTCTCTTCCCATCGAGTCCACCTTCCGTACTGACAGTGTCACGCCCTGCCCCAAAGCCATTCACAGTACCGTGGAAAACTATTCACGAGACGATCAGAATACAAAATAATACCCAGGCTGTGATCACAACTGGATTTTCAAAGGCACCGAGCAGAACCAGAAGAACAGAAAAGAGACTGATGAGGTCCGGATGAACTTTGTCGGAAATTTCTTGGCAGACTTTGGCTTTTATGATTATTGCTAAAACGTAATTTCAATTGTAATGGGTCCCTTGCCCCCTGTGAATCAAATCCCAAGTCCTCATGATGAGGTGTCAGCTTGCTCCCACCAGGCTCTCCGGCCCCCTTGTCCGCCCCTCCACACGGCTCCTGCCATCCGTATGTTTTCAGCGTTTTGTGACTTTTCACAGCTACGTCATTGCTATCCCATTATTTCTCCGCCAAAAGACTTTTCCTTTGTGCTCCTTGGCAAAACCTGATTCTTTTTTCCCCTCTTAATGACATAACACATGAATACGATCTGATTAGAAACCATTCAAACTGCAGTCACACGGTTAAAAGGGAAAGGCCCTCCCGCCACCCATCGCCCCTCCGCCACAAACCCACTCCCTTCTCCAGAGGCACGAGTGGATCGGGCTGATTTGCTGTGACGACTTTTCTGGCACTGGAGTGCCCGATCCTAACAGAATCTCTCCGTATGTGGCAAAAGCCTAGCACACGCGGGCCTCTCTCTCCTCCTTCTATTTTGGATGGAGTGGAAAAATCTCTCTTTTGCTTTCTTACTCATTCAGGAGCTGGGCCCAGATCTGAGAAGCAGCCCTGAGAGGTAGTTTATTGTCCAGCCTGCTACTGGCAAAGAGGGGGAAAAAAAACCTTCTCTTGTTCTTCATTTTATTCTGGACTTACCGGACTGGTCCAATTCCAAACCTGGGTTTGAGCATCGATGGGGAACAAACCGTTTCTTTGTCAAAGTCTGGCCTAGTATTAGGATTTGGGGCCAAAGCTCCAGTTAATTAAAAATCACTTTGCTAGGCAACACGCTGCCTACTGCATGATCTAAAGCAGGTCTTAGGCAAAGCCATGACCTATCACTGCTTAAAAGTACCTCTACCTATAAGTGAGGTTAAATTCAGTTTGGGTATGCTATGTAGTCATAAACAAAAGAAGACAGTTCTAAGTGTTGTTTTAATAACACCGATTCAGAAACGAGGGGTCCCTCTCACGTGATTTTCCATGGTAGCATTCCATATGCCTCTGGGCATGATATTCTGATTTCGTAGACAAGCCCAACATGAAATTTCCTGTATAAATGTAACCTAATGGAAATCACACTAGAAAAAGGCAGAAGTGGCCTAATAATCACGTGTTGTTGCTTAACTGGCATTAAGGAAGGCTTCAAAAGACTTGAAGAACAACTTTTTCGTACTTCGTGCCACATTGAGACAATATTCTAATCTCTAAAAAAAGCAAATTTCTTTCTTTTTTCTGTCTATCAGTAGGAGAAACCGGTAGGAGTGTTAGTTCCAGAGCCAAAACTTTCAAGTAGCTGGCGATAATATGCGAAACAATGAGTAATAGTCTGGGATCTCTTAGACGCTATTAAACATAATCACCTTGAAAGAACATAAAGAATTTTGTTTTGATGAGGTATTTACTCCATTCGACTGTATTCGTTGCTATGGAGATCAGAGGTCCTATGTGACTTAAAAGTATTCTAACATCACGGCACTACCTTTCAGTATAGCTTAGGCCATGCTCAGAAGTGATCACAGAACACCCTTTACTACCCCGCGGAACAACGAAACGAGTCAATGAGACGCTCGACGTATACCCGATTGTCTGCAACTCCGATATCCGTATCTTACTGTTGTGTTATTTCTCCCAGAAAGCAAAAGCCTGTGCAATTAAAAGAGCACGCCCTGTGTTACAGTCTCGTGGCCTTCCTCCCTGTTTTCCGTTGTCCTGCTCCAAACGCATCTCACCGATGTTTTGTAAAGCAAGACCTCTGTGTTGCAGAGACGACCGCCGTGTCGCAGCTTTCTGCCTCCGGAATCTGACGCGCCAGGGACCGTGGCATGCAGCAGCCGCTGCTTCGGTTCCGGAGCCGACTCTGACGGGAAAGCAAGGACGTCGGGGAGCTCCGTCTGGAGAAAGGGCAGGGCTGGGGCTGATCGGGACACCGCCGCTATCAGTCAGGGGTACCTAGGGGCAGACGTGAGAACGGCAGCAAGAACTTTTCATTCTGGGGGTGAAAATGGGGTTCTCATGCATCCACTAACGTAGTGAGGCGAAACGGAGACTTTGAATCATACAAAAAGTTGATTCTTGATGATCTGTCTATGAAAAAAACAGCCGTCCTTAAGAAAACACCGTCAGTGCTTCTCTCCAAAATTTGTTCAGAATGACACCTTCGGAAACATCGAACATCACGAACAACACAACCTGGCGACAAACTTTCTAGACGCTCAGTGACTTTGTTTCGCTGTGGTTGTTAATCATTTTGTGCAACACATACTTAAAAAATTAACTCTGATACATATATGAGATTCAAACGCAGGCAGCAAAGTCTCAAATAGACATATAGTCAGTAATTTTTAAAAACCGTCTTAATAAAATCTTCCCAAGAGTTAAGTTACAGATAGAAATTTGGAAATGAGGTCTGGAGGATAGTTTTCTAATACAGTTTTTACTTTTTAGAGCTATGAATCAGTAGCTTTTATCTCTAATAATACATTTTACTCCGGGATGGCTGCTTCACGCCTTTAAGCTAAAGGAGACATTAACAGCTTCTAGTAAAGCAGTATCCTGCTTTTTGCATAAATTTGGAAAAATGTATAGAATTCTTAACACAGTCTATCTGCTTCCTCGAAGGAACAACATGTTACTCGTAACACCTAACTTCATCTTCTACAGTAAAGAGTACACACACCATACACTCATTCATCTATTTACTGAACTTAGAGGCACTCGAGAACTAGAGATCAACAAATATAGAAATAAGCAGTTCCGTCCTCAAAGAGGTCACAGACGAGACCGCCGGCTGGGGTGACGCCAAGCAAGGAAAAGCCTCCAAAGCGATGACACCGGAGCTGCCCGAAACGTGAACGACCAGGATCTAGTCCGAAAGATAAGAATAGACAACAGGGCGCCTCGATCATTCACCGACGTCTTATACTAAATGAACGTGGAGCGGGGGCGGCACCCTCTCCCAGAGCGATGCGGGTATCGCTTAGGAGACTGCATCCTTCCTTAGCAGCACCCCAAAATGACGTACGCTGACTAGTTTTCTACTTACCTAAGAAATTCTCTAGTGGGAAGAATAGAAATTAGGTTCTTTAGCCATATTCGATGCAAATCGAGATATTTTATGAAACAGGATTA